GCATGGGAGCATGAAGCCGGCTTCCCGGCCAATCAGGAAGCTGGGTGCCGTGTAATGACTCGCCGCCTGGCTTTCTGATTGGTCGCAAAGTTGGCCAATCAGGAAGCCAGGATGTGAGTCATTTGACCCCCCCTGGCTTCCTGACTGGCTAGAGAGCCAGCTCCATACTTCTCTTGTCACCTGGTGCTAATCGGGAAGTCGGGTGGCAAGTCTTTACACGCCCCATGGCTTCCCGGCTAATCAGTAAGCCAGGTGGCGAGTCAATACACACAGTCTGGCTTCCTTAATAGGACTTCCGGTATTGGTTTTTGGTATTGGCTAGTACCGAAAAATAAATATTGGTATTTGTACTCGAAACCGAAAAAATGGGTGCATCCCTAATTGCCAGGAACAGAACTGTGGGAGAGCGAGGTATTATCCTGCTGTGGGTTTTTCCTTGCAAGGGAACCTGTTTCTGTGCCTTGAGTGGGTAAAGTGACAGAGTATCTTTAAATCAGAGACTATTATTATCATTATGAACACTCCAGCTACCAGTCCCCTCCGCCTCTGGGAGTCATACCTGTGGTTGTCAGAATCTGGCAATGCCTCATGGGACTTGCTGTTCTACAACAGCTGAAGTGCCATTATAAGTGAGTGAAGGAACTAATACCTGACTTATACTGAGGTGCTTCTCTGCAGGAAAGATAGTGAACCACAACTCCTAGGTGGCAGCAGCAGCTGGCTTTTTCATGTGCACACTCCCTTTCATATAGAATCACCCTAGAATAATTAATACAGACTTCAGTGCTATGATCACCACAAGTAATGAGTTGCTATTTCTCAGGTCTAATTTGAGACTCTGAACACTGCAGCTGATACATAACCATCTTTTTTTCTGCAAATGAAATATTTAAAACAAGCTTGACATGTTTACCACTAATTAACACATGCAATTTAATAATTATTTAATAATCTAATGTCTCCATCATAACTAAGACGCTTAGCAGAAATATTTCTTCCTGATCTTTACGTAACCTCTTATGATAACACTGTTTGTAAACTTATGAATATTCAGGACGACCGTTCATTCGGGCTCCCTATCTTTTGATGCTTTGTTTGGCTAACGATGGCAGTATAATTAGTTTAAAAAGAGATAATGAGAAAGAATGATAATTACCCAGCAACATTAGAATTAAATGGATCAGGAGGAATGAGAACTGGTTGCGTTTTAGATGCAAGAGACAAATGATGGAAAAATGTTCCGAGCAAGAACACTGAATTTCATATTAAATTGCCGGGTCGTCACTTGGGAATTGTGTGATCAGTAAGTCTGTAAATTCCTCATGCAAGTGTCTGAAGGTGGGGCGGGATGGCTTAGGGCCCATTCACACCAATCATGTTGCAGTAATGCACATTATGTGCGTTGGTGCGCTGCGGTAAAAACCCGTAAGCTACCAAGTACTGGACCACAATGGACATGTCCTGTGCAAAAACTTAAGACTGCGCCTTACATATCGTGCCACAATGTGCCTCAATGCATAAAAATGCGTAAGTTGCGGCACACTGTATTCTGATGTCCTAGTGAGTAGCACTGTGGCCTTTGCTACATTATTTTTGGTAAATACAATTTGCATGGTCATTTTGGGAGTGGCTGTTTTCTTTCAATTAAACTTACCGTGGAAAATGAATCCACTGTTTTGGTGTAGCAGCTATATTAATACTTGCTTACCTCAGATGGCTAGATAAGCAAATACAGAGCAACAAGGTATACATCTGGTGTATTGGTACTAGCTGCTCAACCTCAGTAATAGCTCATGAGCTGCATTTAGTAAATGCATCATAGCTGTGAAGGTTAGATATACCAAGAACTCTGGATATGCACATTTTTGTTTTGGAAATGAAATCGTTAGCTTTTCCGAGACAAAAAAAAAAAAAGCAAAGCAAAAAGGCAGCTGATGAAAATCAGCTAGAGGAATAAGAAAGTCAAAAAAGGTGGAGGGAGAGATAACTGAATAAAGGAAGCTGGCCTGGAGATAAAAGACAGACTGGGAATACAGCATCACAAAACCGAGAAGGTCCGACCTTGTACCTGCGATAAGACTTTGAAGCGGAAGCAACTGGGGATTAAGCGATTGTCTGAGATCTGTCGCTACACGGATTTTATCCTGCCTCGTTGTATTCTTATTTTAATTTCTTACCCCCTCAATGGCGCAGAGGTTTAGCCTTATTTTGAGGCTGGAAGTGACAGAAAAATCACAGCTTTTTAGAGCTGACTGCAAATCCGAAAAGCCTGGTCATGTTGGTCTTGGAACTGTAACATAAGCTAATTCAAGTGACCAGAAGCTACAATCAAAATGCTTTAATTGCTAAAAATGGATGTCAGAGTTTGATGCTGGCCACACATGGCAACCTTCAGGCATTTTTGACTGGTTTAAATCAGCTTTTTAGAGCGCCAAAAAACCCTCAAATGGATTGATGCAATGTACCACCAACAGCTTCGAATAATCTAAAATATTGATAGTAGGTTGCCTTGAAAGGGGATGAACATGCCTAAAAATTGTTATGTATGCACGTTTATATTGATACTTTCTGCCCTCCTGTGCCAGCTTCCTTATTTCACGCTTCTTCTCCTAGTCAACTGGCTAGTCTTCAACTGGCCATTTTCAAATCTGGTTGTAGAATCTCTGTGCCAATCTCCTGTAGATTTTCCAAAAACCAAGTAGCTTGAAGACTGGCCTCAACAATCAGTTTAGTTTATAATCAGTAAGGTAGGATCTTGCACTACATAATTGTTGGTAGATTAAAATGATTGTACAATCAGATTTTAATCTAAGACCAGATGATATAGCTGAACAAGGCACAATGGGACTGATGGCAGAAAGGTTGCAAGGGGGGAGTTAACAGGCAGGGGCGTCCCGAGACCGTGTGTCACCCGGAGCAGAGAAGGGGGTGACACCCCGCCATGACGTCATCACGCATGCGCGGTCAACTTATTGACGCCTTCCAGCAGCCATCTTGGTGATGGACGTCGGCAGAGAGAGGAGGGGACGTTCACTCGGCGGGATGAGGTATGCCGCCGGGTCCCCTCCTCTCTCCTGAAACAGTTGGGCTCTCGGTCCATGGCCGAGTGCCCGACTTTTCATAGGGGGTGACACCAAAATAACTGTCAGTCATTTTGGTGTCAACCCTCCAATTGTGGCACCTGGGTGCGGGTCGCAGCCCCCGCTCCCCCTTTGCGACACCACAGGCATTTATTGCTGAAGAGACAAAGATTGTTTTTTTTTGTTGTTTTAAGGCCACATTTCTGTTTTAAGCACATATGCAAGGTTTCTTGGATGACATTAGCAGCTGACTGATTCACTTATTGGTTGGAGATGCTGTTTAAATTGCGGATTGCTTCCCATTACTGTTCCTGTTACAAATTGGGTCTCTGAATGGGCATTGAAGAAAATTGAAAAGAAGTTTTCTCCCCTGGTCTTTTTTTCCCTGTGCACTCACATGTTAACTGTCTGAACACTACAGCCGTCCATGCACTTGAAAACATGCAAAGGTTGCATCAACAATAAAGCTTTTTAAAGTGGTATTTTTTATACAAAATGAGGCTTTGTTGTCACTTGTTATAACTGAACAGGCTTCACACACTGAATGAAAAGACAGCTTTCAGAACTCTAGGACCAGTCTGAAAAGAGCTTTTACACTGGGGCCTATACTCAAGGCCCAGTTAAACAAACAGGGTAGCATTAGTGGGAGTTGGTACAGGTATTACAATCTGTATAAACTTGTCTGTCTGCCATAACAAGGAGATCCCGGTCAGAACACTATGTGCAAGGAGTTTGCAAGGGATATTCTCCCTGTGGTTGCATGGGTTTCCTCTGGGTACTTCGGTTTCTTCCCACACTCCACAGACAAGCTGGAAGGTTAATTGGCTTCTGTCTAAAATTGTCCCTGTATATGTGTGCAATAGGAACCTTAGATTATAAGCTCCTTGAGGGCAGGGACAGATATAAATGTGCAGTAGGTAAGGTGCTGCATAAATTGTCACCTATACCAATAGAGGTAATGAAAGTTGTACAAACTGGCAATTTTAGAGTCTATAGGAGGCCTTTGACCCCACAAGCAGGCCATGATAAGAGGAACAAATGATCAGATAGGTCAAAAAACTCCTGACAATCCACTGCCAGCCAATTTCGATCTTCTGCCCCTCTGCTTTTAACTGACATACATTTTTAAGGTCAGTGGAGACAACCTTTTAAAGGAGAACTATTGGGAGAATAAAATATACTCTTTCCAATAGTTTGGGCACACAGCAGCTGTCACACACTATCTCGAGAACTAAATGATCACAAACTGCTGACTGCTCAGCTCATGGCTTCTCCCTGCAGAGAGTGGTGACTGTCAGTCACAGACAGACAAAGGAAGGGGCAGACACAGCTGGCTCTAGTTTCAGAGAGGCAGAGCCAGCTGTCAATCAGGCATTGGGATGGATCCCGACAACATTGTCAGGATCCTTCCTGGCTGCAGTGCGGCTCTGTGCTGTCAGCATATAGCGGGCAGTAACCTACTATTTGCTGATTTTGGGTCACAGGAGTACACATGTAACTGTATTCCTGTGACCCAAACGAGAACTAAAGCCAACAAAAGATTTTGCTTTAGTTCTTTAAGTTTATGGAGTGCTCTACAGCACTCCAGAGACATTTTTCCATGTATACATGAAGGTCTGCCTTCTCAAATCTATAGGCAGATACCCCCACTTACAACTTGCCCTGCAGTACAGCTAGTGACACCATGTGGAATTCAGTGCTCAGAGGATGAATGGAGAGAATGGCTAGTCTTCAGATCTGTTATTTTGGACTTAATACAGATTCATTCACAATAAACATAAACAAGAAGATATAAGCAATCCAACATTGTGGTATTTAAACAAAACATATGTTTCACAACACACATCACCTAAACAGAAAAAAAAACACACAATCAGCGTACCAGTCTATAAGCAATGGTTAAAATGTGGTCCTTCTTACCATTGACATCCAGTTTGTATTCTGCAAGAAACATTCCCATTATATTAGAAACTTCACAGACGTAGGTGCCACTGTCGCTCTTGTTGAGGTTCTGGAACACAAGGCTATTATGGTCAGAGATTACTGTTATGGGCAGATCACCATTCTTCCTTGCCCAGATATATCTTTCAGGTCTAAAAAATGAGATTATAAAGAAACTTTTAGACTAAAACTCCTAAATAAAGTATCAGACAACATTTACAGTAATTTAAAAACTTTAACGATAGCAGTGTGTATTTGCTTCCCATTACGTACAGTTGTAGAGTTTCAGAACATTTGGTTTTACTAACTATTTAAAGTGTCTGTAAATCTTCAGCTCCTCTCTGGCTTTAATGGCACAAAATAAGCATGCAAACCAAAAGGAAACCACCCCATGCAAACCAAAATACAACACTCTAGAAAAACATTTCTTTTCAGAAGTATTTGAGAGAACCTGTAGGTAATGTAGTCACACGGATACAGGAAAACTGGCAGGATCAAATTATATTTTAGACTTTTATTCATCTTCTCGTTTTTGAAAAAATAATAGTACATTTACCTTGAAGAATATTATAGAAAACTACCAGTGCATATTTTTTATTTTGGGTTTACAGACACTATAAACACTCACTAGGGTTACAAGATAATTGGTGTGGCCAATGAACAAGGTGCCAATAGACTGCTGTCGCACAATGTGTTTACTTATGGTTGGATCAGAAAAAGACTGTATAAATATGAGCATTCATTGACTCCCCCTCTTCCTCCCAAGGTCCCTTAGGGTAATAACCTGATGGTCAATTCAGATAATTTAATTTAATATCATTTCCCAACTAGGTAAGCAGATCCCCCCCCCCTCCCTTTGGAGAGTCGTAAACAAGAATACAAGTCTCAAGCAAGCATACATGTTTTTTAAAGATCTTTCACAAGAAAGGTCTTTTAGTGCTTGACTCATGCCTGCATGTTTGACGGCCCTTTGATGTACAAATATAAGGCTGTAATTAGCAATTTGACAGTAATAATTAAAATGTGAGTTTCATAAGCAGTAATATCGTCATAAATATGACACGGCTTCTCTGTACAAGGTATATTTATTCAAGGGCCTTGCTAAGTGGAGGCTGAGACTATGCTCCTCCAGAAATATGCTTGCAGTTTTATTCAGTTCAATAAAATTATTTTTTGTGCTACATATGTATCCATTCACCACATAAGGTATTCACAACAGAATTGGCACCAGTGGCATGCTCTAATCTCCATCTACAGGGTAAGATGAAGCAGGAGAGGAACGTGCTAAGCAGGAGAGGCCAGCGGCAGGCCCATAAAATATGAAGGAATAGAGTTACTGTCGAAGTTTCAAATTCTGTTTGCTAAGCCCATACATCAATGTGACTGGGCCAACACTTGCTATCTTTTACTAACAATACTACCCTGAGTGGACACAGCTCTTAAAAGATGAAAGTGTACATCATTAAAAAGGAATGAGTTTCACAATAAGGGAGTGGTTGTCTCAAAATGTAATATAGCAAAATCTGAGGCATTGCTTTAGTTGATTTAGATAGGTCTTTATTCTACCAGATTTTGTTGGATTGGATACATGGGGCCCAGAAGATGATGTCTTGCACATTTTCCCCTTACACCCTTAATACTAAGTTCCACCCTTTGCTGTATCCCACTAAAATGAACAGTGCCAGCAGCATTTGCTAGGCTTTGCCACTGTGGTAGTAGTTAATTTCAACAAATATTCTGTGCAACTTCCAATCACTTTTTGAATGAGGTACTTACCTACATTGTCCAATGTGATTATTGTAAGAAGGCATTTGCAAAGCTCTCAGCTTTGGCAAAACACAATTGGGTTAAATATTCAGTCAACTGGTTATGTCTATTTTGTTACATTAATAGACAGTGTCATGCTGGCAGGCAGAGCAGGACCCTAGTGGGATTTCACTGCTAGAGTCCATGATATACATGAGGTCAGTTGACAGCACAGCCATTTTCAACCCATACCCAAAATATCAGTTTTGTGTGGACTGGCCCGTTAACAGATAACGGTATACAGTCCATTACTCAAGCTGCTTAAGGTTATCATTTATTTTACATGCAAAGCTCATGCAGACCTAACATGGAATAGTGGTATTGTGACTTGTGATTCAGGTATTGTAACTCTGAGAGGCTTTGTTTGGAACTCTTATATAATGAGAATAAGTGTGGGAGGTGTGGATAAGATATGAATGAAGAAGGTTGGGGAGGTGCAGTGTGGGAGAGGTGAGACAAAAGAGAAGTGAAGAGGTGCGACTAGTAACACTTACTGCAAAAATGCAAACTGAACACAGAATTAGAGAGATAAAAAGGGGAAATCTAAATGTTATAAAGCTGTTACTGCACTGTCCAAATGAGACATGGCCATGGTGACCAATAATGGCACCCTCAATGGACAGGGGAGGCAGCTTCAAGAGCTTAGGTATGAAGGACAAAGAAAGTAATGCCTCAGTGATAAAAAGTAAATGTCTTATTATCCAGCAATTGCTCTTCTTTTCTCCTCTTTGATTTAGTTTTTACTTTAAGGGTTAAACTCAAATATGGGTTCACTCTAAAGCCTATCTCGATGAAAACAAAAAACTACCCCTTGCAGTGGGGCTATTCCTGCACTTGAAGAGTTATCTGCCTGTTTATCTCTATAGGACCGGTGTAAAGAGGTTTTACTTACCTCCAAGACCGATACCCACAGCCTCTTCTCTCTTGACCTTAAGCGGTCGGAGGCTTACTGACATCATTACGTCTAATGCAGGGTTTATAGCCCTGCATTATATGTGAGGATGCCAATGGACAGTCCACAAGGAGGAGCATAGGGGAGAGAGGTGAGTACCACTAATTATTCGTGTAGTCATAATAAACAGTAACAGAGGAACTGGTGAACCAGAGCCAGTAAACAAGTAGATGGTCACTGCTAGCTCAGAGCCGGCGCTACCAGAAAGGCAGCACAAGCAACCGCTTGAGGGCGCTGGTGGGGAAGAGCAGAAAAAGACAGCCTCCCATATACAGGAGCAGTGGTATAAGCTTTAGTTTTCTATAGTCTGATCACCACCCCCTGTTCACTCTGATGTGTGGTCTCTCTCTGGAGCCTTCTGGGAGCCCACACTGTCCCTGAAGCTGTCACCCACTGAGATATTAACATACGAATGGGCAGCAATATTTGAATATCAATAAGCCACAATGCATTCATATGTACATTTCACGGCTAATTGATATGCAAATCACTGCCCTCCCCCCAAGGGCTCACAGTATTCTTGGACTGCATGGCACTCCATGTAATGGAGGAAGTACCACCCACTATTGCTGCTAAGGAAGAACAGCCAGCCTGAAATCTGCAGGAAAAAGGTAAGTTTAAGTAAGTGTATGTACATATACAGTATATTTATACACTATATTGCCAAAAGTATTGGGACACCTCTCCAAATCATTGGGTTCAGGTGTTCCAGGAAAATTCTTTGCTACTAAATATCCCACTGTTAGTAGTATTATAACAAAGTGGAAGCAACTGGACACAACAGCAACTCAGCCACGAAGTGGTAGGCCACGTAAAAGGACAGCCCCCTATGTAATAATAAAGTGTAAAAAAAATAGTTACAAAAAAAAAATAGTCACAAAAAATTGCAGAAAAAAAAAAATTAACGTCCCCCACTCCTACATACACGCACAAACATGTGTTGGGTGCACGGATGTGCAAAAACGACCATGGGAACTTTTGGGTATTGTAGTTTTTTTGCAGTTTCACGGGCGAACACAATTGTAAGGCTTGATATCTATTTTTCCAGTGTGACCCCCATCTTTTATATTTTACCCAAAAAATGGGTATTATTTTCTGTTTCAATTTAATTTTAGTGTATTTTATCCTAAAAATACCGGTTTGATAAACATTTGCACAAATACCATGCAACATCGAAAAAAAATGGCAACCAGCATTTTTTTTTATTGTGCAGGGCCTTTGCTTTCAGAAAAGCTGTTTTCTAGCCCAAAATACAGATTGTATCATGTGTGCGCAAATAGTAAGAAATTGCTCTGGACAGCAAGTGGTTCATTCTGCATGTTTTTACTTTCAGGATAACATTTCCTTATATTTGAGCAGCTCTGCACATGCTTTAAAATACTTTTACATTTATTTTGATTTATTTTGTGGTCAGTAAAGGTCAGGCCATTAATAAACAGAGCATTTTCCCTGAAACGACTGTTCAAAAACAATGTTAGAAAATGAGTAGCGATTACTACCTTTTAAGAAAAAAATCATGCGGTATAATTCGATCTGTAGCGATGACAAAGAATAAAATATACAGTGCTAAGTAATTTTCCTGATTTTTTACAAAGGTCACAAGCACTGTATTTAATGGCTGTCATCTGAAATGGTAACTACTTGTATACTAGGGCTTGGCAAGGTCCTAGAGGTCGGGCTACCATAAATGACAGTACTAAATGAAAAAATAATTCTGATACCTTAAGTGCTAACTGAATCTAAACTGACCGTATACCATGACCTTAGCGCAAAGTCTGAAACACATCAAGCATTTCTGTACCTTGAAAAATAACTGTTTAGATGAAGTCTCCATAGTTCTAACAGTTATACACATGTAAAGAATGAAAGAAAGTGGCTAGTTCTAATTAAACATGTCATAGCTAGGGAGGTTTGTACACCATGCCTAGCTAATTTATGTCATGCCTGATGAAGGGACCCTGAGTGGCCCCGAAACGTTGCTTTATGACTAGATGTGTGTACATCAATAAAATGACCACTCGTTGAAGATTTTACTTTGGTATGCTGGTGATATACTTTACTATTTGGATTTGAAGTGGTGCCATCCACTATCACTGGAGCACCCACTTTAAAAAAGGGACATACCAGTAAGGAGTGCAGTGGAAACCTCTTTGGAACTAGCTAATATTATGTTCTACCAAGATTTGTACACTGTGCCCAGCTGATATTATGCTTTACCAAGATCTGTGCACTGTGCCCAGCTGATATTATATTCTACCAAGATCTGTCCACCTTGCCCAGCTGATATTATGCTCTACCAAGGTTTGTCCACTGTGCCCAGCTAATATTAAGCTCTACCAAGGTTTGTCCACTGTGCCCAGCTTATATTATGCTCTACCAAGATTTGTACACTGT